ATTACAATAGGAATAGGCTCTAGGGTGATGCTGAGAAGATATATGGCGGTCTCTGATGGATTAGTCAACGGAGCGATGGGTGTAATAAAAAAAATCAAGTGGCCAGCCCTTCGCCGTGACCAACTAGAAGCAGGAGAACTGCCCGAAGCAGTATTGAATAAATTTGATGACGAGACGGTAGGCACTAGGGTAAAAGATGCGGAGGGCCTAGTTTCAATCGAATCAACATCTGCAACTTTTCAGGCCAATAAAGGTTACGGTGATGTCGAGAGATTAATGCTGCCACTAATTTTAAGTTGGGCTATCACCGTTCACAAGCTCCAAGGTACGACATTGGAGAGGGCGGTGAACCTCGGAAAAAAATATTTGCAAAAGGTCAGATAAGTACATGTGGCTTTAAGTCAAGTGAAGAATTTAGATGGCGTGGCATTAAGTGATTTGGAACCATCTAAATTATTACACAAACCACATGATGACAAAGCACTACAGGAAATGCAACGATTAAGACAGTTAAATCTATATTTAAAAAAAACTTATTTTTAAAATTTCCTTTGTATTTATTTCTTCGTTCCGAGATTTTATATCCAATCGTATTGGTTATAATATTTCTCAATTTCTCTACTCCGCAAGCTCGCTCCGCTTCAATGACAGGTAGCCTAAGACCCACTTATCGGGACACGGGTTAATAGTAATATACATATAATCAAGTTAAATGAAAACTCCTAAAAAGGCCGTACACAAACTAAAATTAAATCATCCAAGTTAACAATAATATTCATTAAAAATGTTCATAAAATAATATTTAATCAACTTAAATGAACACTCCTAAAAAAATGTTCATAAAATAATATATAATCAACTTAAATGTAAACTCCTAAAAAGGCCGTACACAAACTAAAATTATATAATCCAAGTAAACAATAATATTCATTAAAAATCTCCTAAAAAATGTTTATAAAATAATATATAATCAACTTAAATGAAAACTCCTAAAAAGGCCGTGCACAAACTAAAATTATATCATCCAAGTAAACAATAATATTCATTAAAAATGTTCATAAAATGAAAACTACTGGGCCTAACTATGTTAAATTTTTATGGGACTAAATGGCAACTATTCCGCATCAAACTAAAGAAGAATCACGTAAATCGGATCATAAATCTCTGAGTAATCGGTGTACATACATAAAAAAAAATACCAATCGAATTGAGAACCTCCTCCTTTTTGAAGTCGGTTAAAAATTCAGCAGCCATCTTGTTATCAATCGCTTTACTTCTTTTGTAGTTAATTTATTAATGTCTGTATGTATCTGTCAAATTTTATTATACAGTTTGGGACGGAGATATATGGTCTGTCTTTTTATGAAGGTCGTATTTATGGTAGGAAGTGAGATTCGGAATAAACGACGCTGGTTTAGGCTAATAATTGTTTTAGAGTTTAAGATTTCTCGGTGCATCGATGTTATTATTTTTAAGATGAAAATCTGACGTAGGTACTCTCAATAGCTTACATTCATTGTACAGGTCGTTTGTTGGAAACCTGAAGGGTTTACTTAGCATTACTTTTAAAACTGTTCGTTAAGCTCTTTCGAGTTGTAACATTTTAGTCTTAGCAGCACCACCCCATTCCATGATGCAGTAAAAAAATAGCGGTTGTATTAGTGGCTGTTGCGTAGGGATTTTAAGATGTAAATAAATTTTCTAATTCTACCTGACAAGTGAAATATATGTTTGCCGTAGGTTAGACGTTCATCCAATATGACTCCTAGATATCGAATAGAGTCATTTGACAGAGAGAAACATTTGACTCGGTCACCAGAACTACAGGAATAAATTTTCAAAGTGTGTCCTGTCGGGAGTTTTGATGCAAGTGTTTTATGCAAATAGGTTTGCATTACAGCAAATTGTAAACACTTCGTCCCATCACAAATATGTAACTACATAATATCCATAATATTGCTACAGACAAAGACTAAATATTGTGCGCAATCCCTTGTCCATTTTTTCAGTACAAAGTGAGATTCATAAAATTAAATATCTATGCAATGTTCTATGATGTCTCGATTTCGTTTCTTAAATTCTTTGGTAAATTGTAACAATCTCCTTACAAGAGAAGACCTATTTCTTACCCTTCATGGATTCACCGAGCGGGTGCCGGTTACATCGCTTGATAGATGGGGGCAACACATGCGAAATTAAGTGGATATGTGTAACAAATACCTACCAATGGTGAGTTAACTCTTTTGATAGACCGTTATATAGATTTACTATTAAAACGTAAAATAAAACAATATATATGAGCTTTTACAATAACATACGTAAATCTATAGAACTGTAATCGATTTGTCAAACAAGAAACGATATAGAAATCTCTTCATCAACAGCCTTTAACAGTCCACTGCTGGACACAAGCCTCTCCTTAGAAAGGAGATCTCTTAAGAATCGGCTATTGTATTAATCGATTTCTATGACATCCCTATACTTCAATCTGCAAGAACTGTCAAACGGCACCTCTTAGACGGTTACCTGACTGTAAATTATTGTTTTTTATTTTAGAAGCAGTTTCAAGAAATTGTGGCAATTTTAGAGCGTTTCACCATAGACTCATCATATAACTACAGTAGGAAAGCTGGCTGTGGGCGCGTACAAGGAGCTGCTTCTAGTTATATATTATCTCTATGGTTTTAACTGTAGCTTTGAAGGGTAATATTTATGAGAGTTGGTAACACTGGTTCTAATCTTTGAAAAATACATTAGCATTAATTAAACATACCGACTCGATTTGAAAATAAATACATAAAAGTAGTCGAAATTTTTAACCCTCGAATACTGGCACCGTAAATACGGAAATACCTACAAAAAGGGAACTATTACTGTATACCCACTGATATTCTAAACAAACATGAGGTGTACCTATACCTCAATGTAGCGATAATGTTATTTTCGTAAAGGTTAGCACCACATATGAGTCAAACCTAACTCGAAACCCAAAACTTCATAGGGGTGCCGGATGAAAAAATTGTGGCTACAAATTATTAGTGTCCGACCGAAATAGGTTTTTCGGCCGAAATCGAAACCGATCCTATAATATATATTTTTTTATTGAATACTGAAATCTAGTGTATTTTTTAGATGTTCATCTGATATCACCTAAAACCACTGTAGTAGGGTGAAGACGTGCCATTTATTCTAAATCAGAGAATATGTATAGAGGTACCTATGCCAAAAAAATGCCGCGTCACGTCATGGTATTCCGCGGCAAGCCTAGCCACCTAATAGGGCTGGCGCTGACTGACGTCGTGATTCGGTACTGCATGGCGAAGGATTTCATGTCTGGTAAGTCCTTTTTATCGTTATTTCAATGTATTTAGAATTCATATTACTTTACTTTGATACATACCGCAGCACTTCTTAGTACACTGCAGGACGTCGGATTGCCGCAGCGCGCCACCTCGTCTCTCGAGCCTCATAGGTCACAACAAATTACTTTAACTAGATTGGGAATTGACATTTTAAGCTGCTGAGGGCAATCTTATGAAAACATTTTATTTAAACGTGCAATTATTCCTGAAACTGCTTTCGATAAAATTAGGCAAGGGGCGGCTAATGGCCTGGGGCCCAGGGCGACCAAGACTGCAAATCCGCCACCGGTGGGAGAGCCATGCTTCGGCACATATGGGCCAGCCTCGACCGGAGTGATACCACGGCCGCATAAAAAAAATTGTTAAGCAGTTAGTAACCTGAGTTCAAACCCTCTCCCTCCCTCTGATTCTGGGGGAGTGACGAAAAGGGTGGGAACGCACGTGTGACTCTGAAGTTGCGGGTGTCCGTGGGCGGCAGGCTTGGCCCCATACATCATAAAAAAAGAAAGCACTGGACAGCGGTGAACTGAGTCAGAGCCACGAACACCGAGTTTCGGCCCAGCCTTAAGTTTTGGCCGAAATCGAAACTAGATTTTTTAGCCGAATCTGGCCGAAACGGAAACTGAACCTTCGGTCGGTCGCTACAAATAATATTTAAGAATACTCGTAGCATACTTACTCAAATGTATGCAAGTGAGTAATACCTACCTTATTAATATCTAGGTTAGCTTTGTATTGTAATTGAGAGAATTTAAAAGAAATCAGAATTTCATTAAACTTAATGTACAAAGTAGTGTATAAGTACACCAAAAGTGTGTCGTTAATAACTCTGCAGTGAACTAATGAAATAGGCAATTTTTTCAACACTTTATACAAGAATACAACACACGAATCGAGAAATGTAGATAACTTTAAAATTTTCATGTCTCCAAGACTGAGGGTGAATGTGTACATCGAACTTTTCTAGGAATTTGGCCCTATGTTGATATAAATTAAAAGAATAAGAACATTACACCAATTACGTTGTCTTAAAATATTATTCTATACACTACCAAAGCTTTGCGATTTATAGCCAATCAGCAAAACTTAATTATCGAGACTTGTAAGAATCTGTATTTCCGTGTGGTGACGGATGAAGAATACGGAGTGTCATCACCCCTATTCATCCCATAGGTTTCGTAAGAGCCTACTAAAGGAGCAAACTCAGTAGGACAACAGCACTGCAAGGAGAAGGAAAACTTGCACAAACCCTACCCATCTGGCCAGCGTGGTATAGTAGGCCTCACCTCCTTTCTAAGGCTTTTCTTCGAAAGGTAGTGTGATGAAAATAGGCCTCGTTGGTGATGTGATGTGAAGATTATGCAAAGTTAAATAAAGTGAGCCGGTCTTGAATGGTAGCAGTGTGGTTGAAACGTATTATATTTCTGTGTCAATGTTATAAGCTCTTATAAGAAAGCTGAAACTGCATACATTTGTTTGATATACAAATCACACTTGACAGCCAATACTAATAGATATCTAATTGAAGTATAACGAACTACCGGGACAAATATATCAGCAGGGGAGTGGTTTTTTTAGGATATAAGATAGTAGAGAAAAGAAGAAGAATAGATAGAATAAAATAATAGTGGTTTATTTTCATTCTGCAGCTGCATTCTGAGCTTGTTTTGCTGCTTGTTTTTCCTTTTTTCTTTTTAGTAGGAACTGCTTCTTCTCCTCTGGCGTCTTCCTCAGCCCCTTCATCTTTCTTGTTTGCAGTCGGTTGATATCCTGCTTGCCCATGTGGATGCGACCTAACTTTGATCCAAATGCATCTCTGGATATATTTTTCTTTGTTCCTGTTCTAAGTTCTTGAGGAACTCTGCAAGCTTCTTTGTACAGATCATCTGACGCTAATCTTGTCCTTCTTAGTTTGAAGTCTATTGAGGGACCTACAAATTACAAACTATTACTACACACTTTAAAGTACTACTACTCTTAGAATAACAGAAATAGTGGAACATCATATTGAGAATGAAATAATTATCTTTCGAAAAAGTATGTACAGCTGACTTCAATACATCTGAATCATGCCACTTCAAGCCTTCTTTGGCAAAAATTGTCTATGAAGTCTGACATTTTCTAGGGAAATTATCCATAAAACAAAGTACGATTCATATTGATATTGTAAAAGATATTGCATAACCGACACAATATAAAAAGTATTAATAAACCGACTTATAAAGCCTTGTATAATTCAAGTGTTTTTTTAATCTTTGTTTTTGAGTGTAAATACGAACTCACAGTGATTGTCAAACTTAGTATTTTATTAGGTATAATTTAAAGAAAGATATTTTGAATTTGAGTTTAGTAAAACACAGTGAGAAAATTGACAACGTTAGCAATCAAATTGAAAAGATCACCAGTTTGCACTACCAGTTTGTCTACCATGAAAGGGATCAATGATAAGCCTTTAATTCAATAAAAATAATATGATAACCTCACACATCTCACACACGGCTGTCTGATTTGAAACTAGGCAAAGCTTGTACTATGATAACCAGACTACTGATAATAATACTTATATCTAAATAGAATACTTATATATATTTCTAAATACATACATATTATAGATAAATTACACCCAGACACAGAAATGATCGTGCTCATCACTCAAATATTTTTCCTAGGTGGGAATCGAACCCACGACAGTACAGCAGCCATGGTCACTAACCACTAGACCGACATGACAATAATCTGAGAAATTTCCGTAAGACTTTTTGCATTAGTCATGAGACCTTCTTGATATTTAATTTATTACCAATTTCTTCCAATTCAATTCTAGGCGTACGCTGGCCACTTTTTTTCAACAGGATTTTGTATGACCGAAAATATATGTTGCCGCTCTCAGTAGCTGTAAAGCTAAGCACATGTTCTAATCCCTGCAGACGGATAGTTTCTACCTGAAATAAAAATACTTGGTTATTAATTTTTTAAGAGGTCAGACTGAAATATAATAGTAATTCAGAGTACCTAAATAGAAGTTTGAAACTAAACTAATTGTTTCACAAAGAGGTTAAACAAATAGAGATTTTACTGTGACATATTCAATTTTGTAAACATTTGAAAATTTAACAAAGTATAAATGATAATCATTAAGTATTTAATTCCTTAGTTAATTAATAGAAGTAGTATTTTTTTTAACTTTAAGTATATAACCAAAGTTTTACATTATAAAATTGTGATTTCATTTATTTATATTCAGTAAATAGATATACCTGAATATAATTATATACATAATGACTTCTTTACTAAACTTTCCTTTTAATATTATTTATACATAATATACACCGTGTAAGGGACATCGTGACGAATACTGAAAAAGCGTATTCAGACCATCATTCTGAGTCGGAAATTATTAGAATCTTGAGTAAACAGAACATTTTACCGAAAAAAAACTAATAAATACCGCATACGGCTAAAAACTGCAATGTAATTAATCAAACAGAATTTGAACGTTTAATGCAACCAGTTGTCAACAGCGTCAAACGTTAAGGTTATTCCCCCGTATCGCCCAAAATTAATAAGTAACTAGTTGTATTCCGTGTAAAACAGTCTACACACTAACATAATTTACCGCGGGGATACGTTTATTCCTGTCTTATAAAATTATACGAAATGCAAATAGGTATGCAGGTGCACAAAAATAAAGCTTTTATGGAATTGTTGTGTACTTCTTTAAATGACAAATTCACTTTTATCTAAAATCAATGCATCTTACATACTGAATGTAATAGTGAATAAGTCGTTCGTTAATCTATAATAAATATATCAGAACTCGTTAGGATTCAACATCGCTTGTGAATTTAGGTTTGTCAACGATTCAATATTAAGCACACCGAGCTTTTTTATTACTAGCTTGGTTAGTAACTTTAGGGCCACAGTAAAAGGTTTTTTAGCAGTGAACGCGAAGGTTTGTGTTTTGGTGGAGTTGAATCGAACATTATTATTGACATACTTTAGGTAATTAAAATAACACTTACGATACTCATAATCTTCATTTATATTTAAAATACAACTCTCAACCGTTTTTGATTTTTTAATTGAGATCACATAGATCATTTTGGTTACAGTAATTGATGACCCTTGAGTATTGGTGCGAGGTAAGAGAGCCCATTCTTGTTTCATTGTTGTTCTAGATCCCTGCTGGCAAGGCTGGCAAGGCAAAGCGAAATCAGACGACTGCCCACCAAGTTCAGGCGGTCAGATACAAGAGGTTGATATACCCAATGCTCCCAATGGTCTTAGTATTACCTTATTTCCATCGTTAGCAGTCAAATTTGTCTGACACGAGTGATTTAGAGTCCACTGTTTCTATATCTAGCGTTCTTATGACGAGCCATCATGATTTTAATATTGACGTATCGCCTTTGCCAGACTACTCTCGGGGAGGGGACACCTCTTGGGGAAGCCTTGACCCTAGGGAGCGCGTCCCCAAGGCGGCGGATAGGGGTAGGTCCGTCAGAGGTCAAATGACTAATAAAGGGTAGGAGGGAATTAAAATACCTAACGCGGGCCATAACGGTCGGAGAGAAAACTCTGTAAACAAACCCGATCCTGGAGCTTCTTCGACATATTCAATGCAAAGGTCCATTGTTGCGATGGGAGCTTAGGTCGGAGCGACCATTATAGTAGCGACGGAAGAGCCCTCATGAGTCAACGGCGGCACTGAAATCTGCCACGAAGATTACGACCTTGGTGTCAGGTAGCAACCGGCCGTACAACTCACAAGCATAGTCATCACACCAATCATGAAAAAATACAAAAATCGAGGAACGATAAATGTTAGGGCGTCCCCCTCAAGCGACGACGAAAATGGAGCCGCGAAAAACACTAGGGCGTCCCCCCTAAGCGACGGAATAAAGAAAAAACAAAACACTGTGACAATGTCCGAAGGGCGCGTTACCACCTGGAACATTGGCACAATGACTGGACGAAGAGCAGAACTGAGCAGTATCCTTGGACATCGCATAAACATCTGTTGTTTGCAAGAAACAAAGTCAAAGGGCGCTAAATCACGACAATTGGAAAGGGATACAAACTTATTTACTGTGGCAAAGAAAATACTAGAAACGGGGTTGGTATAATCTTGGACCATTACTTTAGCCAAAATGTAGTTGAAATAAAAAGGGTTAAAGACCGTATTATTTCTGTCAAAGAATATCGTCTATGTCTATGCCCCGCAAACTGGCTGCCTGGGAGCTGAAAAACAATAATTCTGGGAAGAACTATAAATGCATGTAAACTCTATACCGGCTTTGGAACATAAACTATTTTTGTGGAGAATTGAATGGCCATATGGGTATAGATAGGATTGGTTTTGAGGGACATCACGGGGGTTACGGTTTTGGGGAACAAAATGCCGAAGGAGTAACAATATTGGAGTTTGGAATGTCACAAAATCTAGCTATCGCAAACAGCTTCTTTAAAAAGAAAGATGAACATCTCATTACATATAAGAGCGGAAATGCGACAACGCAAATCTACTACATACATACTGTATATTTTAAATGACAAGCCTAAGACAAATAAAAGATTACTGCTACCGGCTGTGAAACTTGAGAAACCAATTAAGAGAAGGAAAGTTAGTGACAAAAGTAAAACGGAAAAACTAAAAAAGGAAGCTATCTTATACACAACATCAGAGAGTACCTTTGTCAAAATCACCCTGGTGAAAGCTCCTCTAACGATACCTGGTCAAAATTTGAAAAATTCTGTTTAATATCTGCAAAAGATCAGCTAGAATTCAGTAAAGGACCCTGCACAATGGAAAAGACACCCAATTGTGGAATAACAACACCAAAGCAACCGTAGCTGAAAAGAAACGCGAATTAAGATTTGACAGGAGACCCCCTCTGATCAGGATAGGGAAAAGTACAAATTGGCCAAAAACCAGCTAGAAAAACAGTGGCCATCGAAAAAGATAATGCTGAGCGGGACCTATATCAGCGACTGGAACTAGCGACGGATGATGAAGTGTAAAAAAATTGCAAAGCACAGACATAACAACACAAAACATTTCCAGACCACCAAGTATGTTAAAAATGCTGAAGGTATATTGCTCACTGATGACAAGTATATGCGATAGATGGTACGACTACTAAAATCATCTATTAAATGAGGAGTTCGCCCGCCAACCAATGAATCAAGGACCCGTAGATAAAATTACGCTTGAGGAGGTCAAAAGTGCAATTTCAAAAATGAAATGAAAATTCCGTTTGCTTTGCGGTTCTTCCACAATTCAGCAGATGGAGAGGTATGGCTTACTGAATTGATCAATGACACCTGAAGAAATGATAAAATGCCATATGCCTGGAGCAATAGATTGCTTTTGCCCTTCTATAAAGGCAAAGGTGATGTCCGCGATTGTAAAAAATTTAGAGGAATAAAACTCACATCGATTCCCATTCAAATCTGGGTAGGTCCTAAATGTTCTACCAAATAAGTTCGGCTTCACAGCAGGGAAAAGTATCACAGATGCTATCCACGCGGTTAGGTTGGCCATGGAGAAAGCACAAGAAAATTTATGGCTCCTACATATAGATCTAGAGAAGGCCTTTGACCGAGTACCAAGGACAATAATATGGTAGGCTCTGAGGGCACATGGAGTGTCTTAATGCTATAAAAGGCTTATAAAGGACATGTACAGAGATGTCCTAACAAGCGTCAGAACCCCAGCGGGCTCATCTAAAAGTTTTGGCATTAAAGTTGGTGCCCTTAGTCCCCTACTATTTAACATCGCCATTAATTATCTCACAGCGCCCCACACCATAGAACCTCTTATATGCTGATGATGTGGTGCTTATTTCTGATAGCCTACCTTCAGGAGATTCAAGTAGACTTAGAGCAGTGGAGAAAGTCATTAGAACTTAAGGGTCTACGCATTAGTCATCACTTAGACTAAATATGTTCTGCAATTCCAACCCAAAGGATAGGAGATTATTGGTCAAAAGGACACTAGATTAAATACCTATTTTTCATAATTGTTGTTTTTGAAAACTATTACAGCGCTAATGACACAACAACTGGTTGTTAGACAAAATATTAGCCTACATTATATATTTTTCATAGAATTTATCTGTAGTATAGATACTTACCTTTTCTCTATTGAAGAAATCAATAAATAATGATTTCAAACGCTTCAAATCTTGGTTTAAATCCCATGCTGGACCATTAAATATAAGGCAGGGCTTTAAACCTGACAAAACCTTAGCATTGTGAAACTCTTTCATTCCCTTATAATTATCTGCTCCGAGTTCAATCATGTCCAGTATGCCATAGTCAAATGTACGTCCAAGGATTACATTGTGTGGTCTTTTCTTGGAGTGTGAACCAACACCAAACAAGGCAGCTTCTTTTTTATAGCACAATCTGTAAGTAAAAACATAAAGTTTGAGACCACTTGACAATTGAGGTTGGTAATCCATACTCATTTTATAAAGGTGAAAGTGACTTTGTTTTTTACGCTTTTATGCCTAAACTACTAAACAGATTTAAAAAAGTCTTTCACTGATGTAAAGCTACTTTGTCAGCGATTAACATAAGCTAATTTCAACCTACTCTTATAATAGAGTGCAAGTTTTTCTGCTTTCAAGGCACTTTTAAAAGTAATGATACGAAAATTAAGAGTATATTTTAACCTCAACCATTCCACTGCCTTTACTTCTTGTCTACCAACAAGAAGTAAAGGTAGTGGAATGGTTAAGGTACGGTAGCAGATCTGTAACTTAAACTGGCTGTAACATGTAAACCATGTTAACCAAACTCAGGACAAATATTGTGTGATGAGCATGGTTTACTACCGCTGCCCAGGAATGCCTGCAACTCAGGAGTCCCAAGCATGTTGCTGGCATTTGACGTTCGCTCTTGTTGGGTCTGGGTGTAATTTATCTATAATATGTGTCTTTAGAAATATATAAGTGTTTATCAGCAGTCTAGAGTCTGGTCTGGCCGTGTGTGAGATGTGTCAAGTTATTATTATTATGTTTTCTAGTGAGTTGGATAACATACTATGAATTAATGATAGCATTGGACTATTATTTAAATGAGAAGTCTACAGTTTCAACTTATTGGGTAACATAGTTGTAAGAATCAATATTATGTCAGGTAATTAAATAACATATACTTACTGTTTCAACTTATTGCGTAGTGGAGTTTTGTTAATACTAATGATATTTATTTATTTACATGTGTACTTACTTCTCGATAAGAGTTGCATCTTCGAATGGAACAAAATCATTCTTGCGGCTTAAATAAGCTCCATCAGGTTTCTTTAAGTCATATATGTCTTTCAATAATTTCCGAGTTCGGTCTGAAGGATTTCGGCCCTGAAGAAAGAGACATTGCTTGGGTCCTTCAATAGGTTTAGGTTCCTTAGATTGTAGCACCTTTTTACCTTTTCTTGTAGTCGGTTTCCTGCAAAATACAAGATATAGATCAGTAAGAAAATTCAACAACTTTAGGGGATTACCTTTAGGGCAAATAAACTTACTTTACTCTCTGTATTACACCCATGTTGCTAAACTATTTTGAGAACAAGAAACACGTGCGTATGCGTGACACACTTATAAGTACAATTTGACAGATGCCTAAACAAATGACAGATCAGTCAGAGTAGGGTTGCCACTTGCCAAACTTTGAACTTTTTTTTCGTACTTAAACCAATAAAATCTTGTATTTTGGCTTCTAAACTTCGAACCCACATTTCATTTCATAAATGATGAAATTAAAAAAAATACATATTATACGAATGTGAATTTATCAGAAAAGGGATTGTAACTATGGATTAGTGTCAATAAAAATCACTGTTAAATATTTTATAACTCACCGCATTCGTTAGAAATTGTTGGTAAAATTCGATGGTTCAAACTAACACATCGTATATTCAACTTTTAGCATAATTAGCAAACATCGATGTTTGGCCGTCTATTTGTCAGAAATAAATCAACTACGATGACCCGAATATTTTCAAAAACGCAATTTTTGCCCTTTTTGAGGTGTAATGTAATTCTTCAAATTTTATTATGCCTAAAAAAGTACACATTGTATCTTAAAGTTCAAGTCTTCAGCTTTTCAAATGACGTTGAGTTTGCTTAAATATTATTTCTTTTCGCCACAAATCAATCAAATACTGCCCACCCCGAATTCAGCTAAGCAAACCTTTAATTGAACTACAAGCCTCTAATCTAAGCAAACCCTGTTCACTACTATCTCATCTATCTATCTAAAATCCTTTGGGAAAGTATACTCTGGCTTCTGGAAAAGAAACTTTGACTTAGGAATCATCTAGTGCGGGAGCTGTCATTCTCACAAAAACCACCACTGTGAAAAAAGTTATATCTGTGAATTTGTAATTTCAATTTATTCTATCATATTTCATCATAAATATGTAAAATTATCTATTAAAATAAACACCTTGTGGTACTTTCCGTACAAATGTAATAAGCTATGAAAAAACCTGTTTACAACGTAAATAAATAACATTCCCCTTATTTGGAATATAATTATAACCAGTGCCGGATTAAACCAGCGCGGGGCTTGTAGCAAATTTTATCAAGGGGCCCTTGGATTGTTTAAGATTATCAAGTTTATGGCATTAAATAAAACAAAACTGTTACAAACAAACTTTTCTTGATTTAATTACTGTTCCTCAATTCATATGTAAGACTTTTTAATGTTAAGAAAAATCGTTCACCACTGTATTTAGTGACATCAGAGAGAAATAAATGCGCAAAGCAACTTCAACGTTCGGGAAACAAGTTGGTAAAGAAATATTTAGGAAAAGCTAGTAAACTTGCAGTTACAGAGCCTCCTGATTCTTGATGTCTAGCCACTGCAATGAGAAGGAAAACTTGAAACTAAACCTATACCAATCCGACTGGCCAGCGTGGTACAGTAGGCCAAACCTCCTTTCTAAGGAGAGGCCTATGTCCAACAGTGCACTAGTAAAGGTTGTGGATGGATGACTGTCTTGCTTAGAAAGAGAAGAGAGGAAATGAGAAAAAGCAGTGAAATAATAATAGGTCTTTACCTATGAAATTGCCGTTTTGTATGCAATAAGTGAAAGTACTTATTTTTTCAAACTTTTTTATTTCTGTTATTCGAAGTAATCACCTATGCAATCGATGCATCTTTGCCAACGCATTGGCAGTTTATTGATGCCCTTCTTATAAAAATCAGCTGGACGGGAGGCAACGTGGCGAAGTGTCCAGAGAGTGGCTGCCTCCCAAAGTGGCTAGTGGCCGAAGAGGGAGGTCGCGCACGCCGGTATCGGTTCCGTCTTTTCTAAGGCGAAGCCTATAGACTGGTCAGGGTGAAGGGCGAAAATATAGTGGAGGAAGAAATCGCGGATCTTCCGTTAAAAATTCAATAGCCGATGCTAGGGGGTTCTGTCCACGAAACCACCGAAACACCGGTGTCCATGCAGGAGGCAGCGAACGTAACTGTGGCCATCATAAACAAGGTGACCACGTTATCTACGAACCTTAAGGGTCAATTTGTGAAGCCCCTAAGAACTCCTCCTCCGCCATTGCCGGGGCTCTGCAGCGGCCTGCCCCCCTCCCCGTTCCGGTGACGTCCCTGATGCCCACCTGCGATATATTCTTGACGCAGTATGCTAGACGGACGGGCCTAGAGGCGAGACTGCCTCCGGCCCCCGTTGTTCGGCCGCCAGTCGCTACAGATAGCGCCGACTTCACTTCCGGTTTTTTTTTTATTGGGACTAATCCCACCCACACGCCCACCACTGTAACTCCTGTACACCAGGATCCACAGCAGTGACCCACGAACACAACGAGTTATGACACTCGGGAAGTCCCAGGAAGAAATTAAACTGTCTTAGAACCCGCAACGAAATTAATCAGAAGAAAATTGGAGGAGTTGGAAATACAGTAAATCCACTTCCCTCCTTAGCAAAGCGGGAGACAAAATGAAGTAAAATGGGCATACACCCTTTTAAACAGGGAAGCACTTCCGGTTGCGGGTGGTCGCATGTTCAAGCAAAGACGGCGATTCTAAAAGCCAGACCTAACGCAACAAGGGTTATGCGAAGTTCCCTCCGCTTCCCATTCCAACACCTGCATCTGGCCCTACATCTTGCCATTCTACATCTGCTCCCTCCAACGTTGGGTGGCAGGTAGGTGGAGCGCCAAAGAAGTCCGGAGTCCGAAGCGGGATAAAAAGTCTGGCTAAAAGGTAGCCTCTACCCCGCAGTCGTCATCGATGGCAGTGGCCACCCAGAGGAAGCCGCGAAAACTACAGGTGACTAAGATCGCGGCTGTAGTGGTCACCGTATCCCCGGAGGTGGCTCACGGCGGGCTGTTCTATGCGGCCGTATTTAAAAAGGCCAGTAGGGCCCCAGACGGGAGCTGGAGTCCTCGAAGTCACTGGGGCTGAAGGCGCAAAGACGGCAGACACGTTTGCTACCAAGTGCGCGGAGCTGCACATCTCGGGCCTGGACGACTCTGTAGCGGCCGAAGAAGTCTGCGTTGTAATCCGGGAGAAGACGGGGTGCAACGCGGACAACATAAGGGGCGGCACCATCCGCCCCGGTCGAGGAGGGCTTGGCGCCGTGTGGGTCAGCTGTCGCGTAGCGTCTCCCAAAGTTTTGGGCGATGCCGGCAAGCTTCTCATCGGTTTCATGAACGCTAGGATCACGGTCCTGGCGGCAAGACTGATGAGGTGTTTTAAATGCCTAACGTTGGGACACTCACGCACAGTAAACATCGTGAGCTAGCCAATCGACCCAGACTGCCTCCGACGTCGTTTGTGCGTCGAAGTCGTCGCCCGTGAAGGAGGTTGTAGAGACGGCCCAGTAATGGACCAAGTCTCCAACCTTCTTGTCCAGATGAACGTGAACCACTGTGCTGTGCGCAGGATCTCTTCCTACAAACCATGGCGCAGTGGTCGATTAGTGTAGCCCTGGCCGCGGAACCCTATTACTGTTCATTCTCTTTTCCCCGTCCAAACTAGTTGGGTGACCGGGCCGGCTCCGAGGCAGTCGTCGGCTCCACGGTGCCTCATTCCCCGCCCTTGTCGCTAAGAGACAAGGGCACTGGATGGCGAGTAGGGGGGATCACTATTTATGGTATATACTTCTCCCACAATCGGAGTTTGAGCGACTTCGAGGTTTTCCTAAACAGCTTGGAGACCTCGATGCGGCGACTAGTGTCTGGGCACGTCCTTGTGCTGGGGGGACTTCAACGCAAAGTCCATTGCATGGGGTTCCTCCAGAACGAACAACGGTCTTCTCAACAGAGGCTCCACCAACACGTGCGTACGACAGCAGCGTTTTTCCCGGTGGTCTATTGCCAAACTGAACAGGGACCTACTGGAGGAGGCAGCCATCATTCACATTGGCTGACATTGGAGCTGGTCGCTTTCGCGATGCGATTACGCAGATCTGCGATGTGGCCTTGCCCCGCATCCGAGGTCGTCGACCTCCAAGGAAGGAGGTTTACTGGAGGTCCCAAGAGTTGGTCGACCTCCGCGCGGCCTGTACTCGTGCCCGGAGGTCCTACGACCGCAGTCAGCGGCGTCACCGTGGAGACGGTGAAGAGGGCCAGCTTCATGAAGAATACCGAGAGGCGCGGAAAACTCTGAAGCTGGCCGTTAGCCGCGACAAAGAAGTGAAAAGAAAGGAGAGAGGAGAGATGCTTTCTTGGCAATTTATACCTACACGAAAACAAGGCATATCTCTCAATATAAAACCAAGAATAAAAATTCATTTACACATGGAACCTATGATCTCAAGATTACTTCCCACGAACAAGATTACATGTGAATGTATAATGACAATTTTTTATTAATCTCCTTGTAAAAAGTGGTTTGTTAAGTAATGTCGTCATATTCGTTAGTTATTATAATATTGTTATTAGAATTTACATTAACGTGTTATGCACGGAATTCATTGATATTCTATTCGTCTTTTTATGTTTTCAATAAAACCAGATCTAAGTGATTGTGGCACCCGAGGCATAAAACCGTTTGGCATTTCAATATTATACAAAAGAATATTACGACATCTATACGATGACGGCAGTCTTTGTACTTTAATTAAGTGAGCAATGAGAAGTATGTTCAATTTCTGTACTTAAATGTAATATCCATATTTCTGTTATTTATTACACGGCTATTTTTGTTACTGTACTGTCTATACTTGCATTTTTTCATAAAATACTTAACATGCGTTTAGAGTGTGTGTATATCATATTGACTACAAAACTATCTATTGAATAAAAGTTAATTGAGTCTGTAATTAACAACTGTAATCGGAGCGTGCACAGCCGTCTTTGCGTAGAACATAAACACATCTGTAGATATGAAAATGTTCCCGCGCGGGCTGCGTTTACGCTGATCCCGACGATTTATAAAGGAACATGTATTCTCTTTATTCTCTGGAGAAGTCAACTACATATAACTATATTCAACTGTTTTTTTTTAAACTACAAAGAATTTTTACAAGAGTTTTTACTAGTCGATAATATAGGTCAATTGACATGATCATTATGTATGTT